CAAGAATGTGTGATATTCCAGCTGATAAAAAATTGAAAAATATCAAAATACTGCATAATTTATGGTCTCCCCTTGCGTTTTATTGAAAAAGTATTACCAGACGAAGTGCTGGTTAGCAATTTTTCTAGTTTCCCAAAGCGTGTCAAGCCCGTGAAGCAGTTGAAAAGCGAAAGATTTGAGCTTAACCATATGCAATATTGTAGAATAATTTAGGAAGTAAAGCAAAAAATATTCCAGTTCAAGTACATTCTACTAAATTTTTTATTAGCACTTTTCAACACGAGTAATTAGGACTCACGCAGCACATTGGGCATTTCCAAAGGTTCTGGATTTACAATATAAAAAACCGAATTTTACAGGCCAATCATCTCCTTTTATTCCATTTAAAGTTTGTCAACGATTGTGTTTTTATATAAGAAACCATTGTCGCATGTTTTAGTAAGTGGGGAAAATCAGCAAATACAATTATTTTACTCCCAAAATGTGAATAGCGCTTATGTTCCTGATACTGTTACAATCAATCATGCACAATTTCGGTTTGATTCCGGTAGTTTTGATATAAAAGATGCTTCACGGAGTGGAAGCTCAATTGTCGAAAATGTCAATAAAATCATGGACATTGTCGAGTCCGACCGTCATATAAACACTGTTTCGTTTGCCCAAGAGCTAAAGATTGCACAAAAAACCGTTTGCAATCATTTGAATAAGGCTGGATACGAAAGGAAAAAATTAAAGCATTCAATTTCATGCGAAAATAATGGATTTCTTTTTACTACATCTAATTTATCAGAGTAGTTTAGATAAATCCTAACTAAATTTATAGGCTTTGATATCCAAAAAATATGCCTTATAAATGGAATATCTTAGACACGGTCTAAAAGTGTGAGATAATTCGGATAAGTTATATTTTAAGTTACATATGTATATGTATGACTGTGTAAGGGTGTACCATCGATTTCAAATATACATACATATATACATATGTAAATCATCGTGATAGTATTTATACTTACGTGGAAATAATTTATTCAAAATTATAGCAAAAATATTCAAAATTTATTGAAAGTGTTTATTATTTAATTCTCTATCAGAATAAAAATTTATTTAAATTTCAAAAATAAAACTGATGGTTTATGTTAATTAAATTTTAAAAAGAGCACGTCGTAGTTGGTGAATAGGTTACAATATATTGATAATTTCTCATTATAATACTTTCCAAAGCCCATTAATTATCGGAAAAATAAAACAAATCACATTTTTAATTGGAAAAGGCCCCAGGCGAAAATCCAACATTTCTTTTAAAGATATAAAGCACTCAGTGCCCGTTCATATGCAACAAAATGTGGTGGTGATCAGCTAAAATAAACAAAAAAATACATAAGCAGAATAATAGATATATACAACTATATTAACACCTCAAGAGGAAAGGTGCTACATGTGGTATACTTCATTTTGCAGACAAGCCGTTACATATAAATACATACTCGTACATATTTTTTTGTAATTGGTTTATTTAAATCAACTTGTTGAATTTTTTATACTCCATTATCTTTTCTTTAGCATTCTTCATCTTTAAACGCTAGTTAAAATTACGTATACGGAAAAAGTTGTGAATTTGTAAAAAAAACTTGTTATCTCTTCTCAGCATTTCCACTTATTTGCTGCTATCGACCATTCGCTGTTGGATATTTCTGCAGTGAGAGGAACGGTCTTGCAAGTTACGTTTTCTTATGATGTATCCGATACATATTCCAACGCGTCTTCCCTTAGAATACTGTCATTTGAGGTACTTATCTGCTTATGCATATAAGCAAGCACGTGTATACATACGTATATACGCTTACATGCATATGTGCATACGTGCAATTCTCAGATGAACAGCGGATGATATTCAACAGATTGTATAATTAGATGCTTAGATGTCTGCCAGCACCAGGAACTGCTCAAAAACGACGGATCCTAAGTGGTGTAAGCTTGACTCCTCGCCCCACAAATTTTGAAGAGCAAAATTTCTCAACAAATTCTCAACACAACAAATGAAATGATCACTACGCTCCACCCAGTAAATACATAGTGTGTAAAGAGGAATGTTCACCCCGCACCACCTCTAGTTTTTTCCCATAAAGCTCACTCCCGAACTCCATTAAGAGCCAAAAGGCTCTATCAATAAATACCAAGGTATTATTTAAAAACACCTTCCATACTCCCAAACATCCTCTCCGTCCAATGATATAACCTAGCAGCCTAAACTTAAATATTTGTGGATGTTGGTTATTTGGTCCACCTTTATTGCGAATGACACCAAAAATTGACACCAGCAGGCTTGTAAAGTTCAAAGCCTAAAGAGTGACAGCGTCTTAAGCCATTGGCCCTTGTATTTGACAGTAATTGTGCCGCGAGGTGAACTTTTTGACTAAGATTTTGATCATACAATACGTACAGAAATGAAATAAACAACAAACCGTGTTCTCTCTACTGATATATGCCCATCAGTTAGCTTGAATACTATTGACTAGTTCGAGACGGATCAAGTGGAAATTGGGTTTTGTGGTTAGGCTTGGCCTTTCTACAACAATCCACTATCTAAAAAATGAAAAAGGTGCGACGCATCGGCAAACACAAAAACTTTCAGATTCTCGTCTGTGGGTAGAGGTAACCATGTCTTATCTGAAAGTTGTTTAAATTAAAACGTGGTCTCGGTTTTATAACAGAAGAAGTAGTAGACAGCTAACAATATTATCTTACCGATAGTGCCCTCTGATTCTTACCACAGCTTGCGAATATGTGAATATGTTTTTGTCATATTTATAACGAAGTCGAAAAATACTGGCTGCATCTACGACATAACCCACGTGCCATCACAACTTGCACATAATTGCATGGTTTGCGGACAACTCTCCTGGCTGATCATATTCGTATGTCTCGACGAAACGAGAATCCTTTACTATATAAGTAGTTATATGCCCGTGGCCCTGCTGTATGAGTGCAAATTGCATTCGATATATCTTTCCAGAACCAATTTATTCGCCGATCTTTAATTAAAATGTACTTTATATTGATATTATATATTAATATTTTAACAGTTAACAGACATCCTGAGATAACCATATTTCACATTTGTCCCTCGGTAAATATTTTCTTCAAATTCCAAAATTTTCCAACGCAACTTTCCATTGCGTAGAACCCAACCCGGAATCGAGCAGTGTATCACTATTACACTTTAGAGTATGGAAAAGCCTTTCCAGGAAGCCTAGAGTCTTTCCCGGCACCAACTATGCTTCTATTTGAAAAAATGATCTCCACAAATGAGATCTTTTTCGCGCAGCTGCCCTTCACATGACAAAGACCTTTTAGTTTAGCATTTTTTAAACATCGGCTGCTTTCGTAAACTCAAGATGCAAAGGACGCGTGCAATGCATATTATACGTAAATACCATTGCATTAATTGAGACAAAGTATTAAATTGATTTTTCACTTTGTTCTTAAAATTATTTTAAATTATTAATTCTTTTAACCCGACAAACTTTATCTCTTTTTAGTCATAGATTTCGTCTTTCCAAAATTAGTGCAAAATATGTTTCAAAAAATAAAAAAAAATATAATTAAAAGCCGCACTGAAAGGTTTGTAAAAATATTGTGCTTTGGGTAAATAAATATTGTTGATGATATACATACATACATACGTGCATATAATAAGATCTAGCCAGAGATTATTTTGAAATGTTAGTATATTTTTATAATAATCATAAATTCATTTCTAATTGTTGTTATCTTTCAGACATATTTCAGGCATGCATATTATTACCTGTCATTTAGAAACATCGAAAGTATTTTTTTCTAAAATAAAAATATTAGAAATTAATTTCATTAAATAACAATTGTTTTTTTTTTTCTCCCAAATATTTCAGATTCCCCCATTAAAGCACCTTTTTTTATACAACTTCCATTCTTTACTTCGCCAAGGATTTCCTAGACTTCCTCTTCTAATTTTCATATTTTCCCCGTAAGGTTTTGGGACCCCTCCGAGTCCCCACTTGAACCTTAAATACAACATCAACATTTTCCTATTTCAAGATTCTAAGAACTAAATCGGTCGGCAAAAGTGCGCTTTCACGAGCTGAATTAATTTTTGAGTGAATAGTGAATATATCTCATTTAATTTGCAAAATACTATTTATTTGTCAAATTTTTCTCCCATTCGCCTCTTCCACTTCGTCAGTTTTTCTCCTTTTTTGACACTTTTATCCTAAACATCTAACATCATCATATAACGCGCTGTCAAAACTAAAAAAAAATATTCGCTCAACGTTGACGACGCGTTATTGTGGGATGTCCCATACAAATTGTATGCCTAAGAAGATTTTTACAGTTGTTTAGCGCTTAACGCTCCAATTTAGGGATAGCAGTTAGGCATCAGAAATAGGAAAAAATTGCTTAGTTTTGTTTTTTTTTGTTTTTTGAAAATTTGGAAAAATTTGACAATTTTTACTTTTTTCGCAATATAGGTTTTCAAATCTCAATATAAAATATTTGCCGGTTAGATCAAATTTAAGTGAAATTTAATCGACTTAAACGACTTAAAACTAAATCACGAAATTTTTATAATTAACTTGGAACACTCTCAAGAACAAATAATTATTCACATTGAATATCCTGTCTGCTTACATTTCCTTGAAATATCTCTGAAACTGATAGACTGGCCGCAAAGCCCATAGACTAGTATTGCATGCTGACATTATGAAGGCCAGGGTTTGGATCCTGTTAAGTGTATTTCTGACAAAAAATAAAACCTTGTCCTAAAAATCCGTCGGCCGTTCGGAGGCTTCTTTGTATATACTATAAGTCCCTCCATTTGTTGGAAAAGCATCAGGACGCATGCCACGAATGGGAGTATGTGCTCGACCGAAAATCGCTCCACCGTTTGCAAAGCACCAATTATATACATACACACATATATAAATATGCATTTTTCATAAAATGAACAATTTTATTTCATCCAGTTGAATATCCAAAATTCATGACAAACAAAATGCGGATTCTAACTAGAGAATTGTTTTGTGAATTACAAGAGCTCCAAAAAGAAGCAGAAGAAGCTCCGCATCCCATTCATGGTCTTTTACAGAAAAAAGGAAGTAAACCTCACTAAACTACAAATTAGAAAATTTACGTCCGCAAGCAAAACAAAAAATAAATTAATTGTACACGTGTACATATACACATAGGTACATATTTTTAATTACGTGCTGTACATCAAATATTATATTTGTATCATTTAAACTCGGTTTAAATTTTCTTGCAATAAAAAAATTAAATTGGGCGCTCTATGTATCCATACATAAAAGGTTTTGAAAATGCAAACATAGAATTAGAATTACGTTATGCTTATTAGTAAATCACTTATACTAACATACTTATAGTTAAATACAATAAAAAATTGTACAAATACTTAAATTTTTGAAATTATGTAAATTATATAAATATTTCTGTATGTAATTACTTACCTTCACTGTCGTTGCCCAAAAATCCCACCGAATTGCAGTAAGGCAAAACCAAACGCTTCATCGTTAGCAACACACACGAAATCCAGCAGTTCAGCGGCAGCGGAGAACCTGATGAAAAAGTACTTGGTTCGAGTTTCAACACGAACAGATCGTACTAAATGAGTTGTATTATGAATTGAAATGAAAGATTTTCGTTTTCATACATTTACGCCATGAATTCAATAATTAAAGGTTGGATAAGTAGACAGTTTTCTCGCTCCCTTACTGGCAAACCATGCTGCTTCTTTGTGAAAAAGCGCACGATTTATCATAATATATTTTAAATAGTTGTAAAAAGTATTGAATTTCATTAAAAACACGCTCTTTTTTCTTTTGGCTGTTTGAGTTGGCTTACATTTATTTTTTTCTGATTATTTAAATTTTTATTGATTTGCGCATATTTTTTTCATATTTAGTATATTTTATGGTAAGTTTATATTCATGTGCATATAATATAATATATGAATGATTATTAATTGTCTCACATAATTTTCGTAAATTGATCCTTGAGAATTTTTTCATAGGTGACTAGTTCAAGCTTTTGCATTTTAGTTATACACACATACATATATACTTGTACATATATATGTATATGCAGGACTTGACGCAAATGACTGCATCGTCTTTTTGCTCATTTAGGTTATTGTCAAGGTAAAAAGTCCTTCTTATAAAATCACTGCATATCTGTGGTTGCCAAATGCCAGTTTCCTCTGCTTCCACCAGCCTAGCCGCTGAGTTAATTCGTAATCTTACATGGAGTTATTTGTGAAATAATTACCATTGCTGTAATCATTATAAGCAATAAAAAGTGAATCAAAATCAAACCATTATTATTATTATATATGTTCATCTGTGGCTATGTCATTTCGCGTCGTTTTCAGTAGATGCCATTTGCTTTAGCATTCACATCAATTCATTTCATTCATTTGAAAATGTCGAAATTTGTACCATATAAAGTGTTTTTGCGAAGATTTCTTCTTCATTACTTTAACATGAAGAAAAGTGCTACCAAAAGCCATCGTATTTTACTGGACGTTTATGGTGACCATGCTTTAGCCGAACGAACGTGCCAAAAGTGGTTTGCACGGTTTAAAAGTGGCAATTTCGACTTAGACGACGGAGAACGACCCGGACATCCAAAAACATTTCTAGACGAAGAATTGGAGACATTGCTCGACGCAGATGCAAGAAGAACTTGCAAAAATATTAGGAGTTGATCAAGCAACCGTTTCCAGACGATTAAAGTCATTAAAATTCATCCAGAAGTTTGGAAATCGGGTGCCTTAATAATTAAAGCTAAGAGACGTCGAACGTCGATTCTGCATGTCGGAAATGTTGCTTTAACGCCACCAAAAGAAGTCATTTTTGCATCGGATTCTCACTGGCGATGAAAAATGGATTCAATATGATAACCCAAAGCACAAGAGATCGTATGTGAAGCATGTCCAATAATCTATATCCACGGCAAAGCCGATTATCCATGGTGAAACGAGCTATCGAAATCGGGTCAGACGAACAATGGGGACCTCTACCGAAAACAATTGATTCGTTTGAAAAAGACCATCGCTGAAAAACGACCATAATATGCGACCAGACACGTATCAATAATTTTTCATCATGACAACGATCGGCCACATGTTGCAATGCCAGTTGAAAATTATTTGAAAACTTGAAAAGTTCTACCTCATGGCCCGGACGTAGCACCTTCCGATTACCACTTGTTCAGATCAATGCAGAATGACCTCACCGGAGTACGCTTCACTTCAGAACAGGGTATCAGGAATTGGCTCAATTCTTTCTTGACCTCCAGGCCTAAGAAGTTCTTTTGGGATGGGGTCCACAAACTGCCAGAAAGATGGCCAAACATCGTAGCTTCCAATGGGCAATACTTTGAACATTAAATGTATAACAAGTTTTTCACAATAAAGCCTTTATTTTCGAAAAAAAAACCACACGAATTAACGCATACACCCAGTAAGCAAAAAATTACTCACCTCCGATATTGCATCTATGGATACTAAATTATTTTTAGTTTTAAATTATCCATAAGATGTGCACATTTTAATAAGTTTTTAAAAAATGTTTACCACCTTTTAACTATGCTTTTACTATGCAATTTTCAACTTTGATATTTTTAAGTTACTGATTTTTTAATGTAAAATATTTTCATTTTCTGAATGATTATAAGTTTCATTTTCAAATATTAAGCTTATGCTCGATAAATTTTATTTAAAAAAATAAATATTAAAGTTTTTTTCTATACTCTTATATATTCCAACAATGTATATAGCCAGTTTTGACTTAAAAAACCCAAATAATTTACAAGTATATAATATTTGTCTAAAATCTCTGATATGTAATAACAACCGATTAAAGAAAATTACTAATCTTGCTTCATTTTGCCCCGTTTTGGCTATAATTTAACTGCCTTTTTACAAATCGGAAAGTAGTTTATCCCTCTTTCTTTTCTACTTTTCCAAAATGCAACCGTTTGTAAGGGAGTGTCAAAGCTCCCTTGATATTACTTATCCAACCTTTAATTATTGAATCATGCATTTAAACTATAGGAAAACTGAATATTTTTTTGTCTTTCTCCCACCAAGATTGGTTTTGGGCTCAGAGAACGGTTTATGCTGCAACTACCCATCTCATGCTCCAACTACCCAACTCACATACCTTCTGTCCATAGCAATCTATCTTCTGAGCGCGCCATGTAAAGACAAAGTTGTCGCCGCTTGCCCATGCCGTTACTAACGCTTGTCCCGCAGAAACCAACTGTGATTTTTTCCGTGAAACCTGCTGGGCTCATTTCTCGTTGCTATACAAGGTTGGCAAAATATATACTTATAATAAGAAGCCGTTTAAAGCATATTTGGATTTCTTCACTCCTACGCAACAAATTGTAAGTCACGCTTCGTAATAACACATAAGCAGTGTAGGGACATTTTTATAACAAATGATATGAAATAAAAAAAACTCTTCACAAAAAAACCATCAGCCGTTCGGATGCGGCTTAGTATAAATTGTAGCTCCCTCCATTTGTAAAAAATCATCAAGGCTCATGGTACAAAGTGGAAGTAGACCTCGGCCGAAAATCACTTCAGCGGTTACAAAGTGCCAATTATATATACATATATACATATATATAGCCATACACGTATATACACATATTTACATATATATATAACATAAATATATACATATATATATATATGTATATATATATATATATGAGTTCCCAAAATAGGCTTGATTTTATCGCCCCAGGAAACTGGCCTACAGACCCAAGGAAATTACCTAACCGGATTGATTTTGCAGTCACCAAAAACTTAGATATGAATTTAGCATATGCTGACACCTGTACAAACTTGTCCCCAGTTCCCTCCCCAGTAATTATAAAATTAAATGAAAAGCCAGTTGCTATAATAAGTCGGCACAAATGCCCGATAACAGCCACAAAAGTATTAGAAAAACACCTTAAACTAATTGAAGAATGAGTAGAATAACGGCGCATACAAGTTTATGAAATTATGTGCTAACACATAAATTTTGCATTACAGCCAAAAACATGCTATACTTTCAAGCTTAGCAATGTACCAGCTCCGAAAGCTGACGAAATTACCTACCTCGAATTCCAGTTTGACTGTTGCGGCGAAAACTCAGTAAGTCTGGACTTAACCTTAACAAAAAACACTTCTATATGATGCAGAAATAAAACCGATATGGATATATGGAATCTAATTAGATGCAACTTGCCCGCACCATGGTACATGCGCAATGAAAATATCCATAGAGATCTAAATATGTACACCATCAATAAGAGATTGTGTAACCTGATTGTGTAACCTTCCGATCGCTTTGGCTAATAAATACTAAAGTTAATAAAAGAAAATTTACCTTATTTGTGTTTCCGAAATTTTAATATGAAATGTAGATTTAAAGCACTAATTATATGGGGTGTAATCAAGTTTCCTACTCTTGCGCCCACGTCGTACACCGTGGAAACGTCAGCAAGCCTTGCTCGAGATGCGGTAACCAACCCGGTCACGGCTAAAAGAGAGAAAGCTTGGTTGAAAAGTTGGTTTAAGGGTGCGCTAAAGTTTAATTGCAGCGTCTGCAGTCTTGACGCTAGTGGCGAGGTAGTGCGCTGGATTTGGAACCACGCAGAAACCAGTTCCAATTAAATTTAATTAAATTTAACCACGCCATAGGATGATATACCTCTCCCTGATGACGACTTTTAATTGGCAAGGTGCCGCTGCCCAGCTGGTTGATGTCCTCGTGAGAATAAAGGCTGACATCAGCGCCATCCAAGAAGTGCGATGGACTAGACAATGGCGAAAGCGAGGAGGTCCATCTTACATCTACTTCGTTAGCCATATAAGCCCGCGGCCACTACGCGTGCGGAATGGGATAAATATCGAGAATTGAATAGAGAGGCAATACGCATCTGCAGACAAAAAAGAAAGAGGCCTAGATGCGTGAGTATTAAGAGCTTGAGTAGCTGGCTTTTAAAGATAATGCTCAAAAATTATTTGAAAAAATGTTACGACTTACAAAAGGCTGCAAGAACGAAATAGGCTCTTGTAGGGCACAAAGAGGTACTGATGTTCAGAGTATTCTGAATTTATGGAGGGAACACTTCTACAGCCTGCTGAATGACAGTAAAAGGGTAAAGCTAGGAGATAACGAGAGTGAAGATATTTGAATAGCTTGAAAAACAACACAGCTGTGGGTTCCGATTGATTGCCGGCCGAAATATTCAAATAGGGTACATGCATCAGCTTATTTGCAAACTTTG